TTAGACAACACGTAATGACGATGGGACAAATGCCTCCTCAACGTCCCGGAGGAGGAGGAGGAGGAGCTGGAGGGGGGTGGAGGTGGAGAGGAGGAGACCAGGAGGACCAGGACAACAAAATCAACAATTTGACGACGTTTCAAATTTTGATTTTTTAAATTAATCCGAGAAAGAAAAAAAAAAAAAAATCACTCAAACGTGAGATAATAATAATTATTTTTTTATCATCGTGACAATAATAATAATAATAATCAAAATATTTTAAATTTTAAAAACGGAACGAAAACGAAAACGAAACAATAAACAAAATGGCGGATTTATTTATTATTTATTTTTAACGGTGCGACGTAATAATAATAATAATAATTATGATTATTTATTTATTTATTTATTTATATCGTCCGATTAATCAAATTTAAATTATTAAAATTTAATTTTAACCTTTTTTTTTTAAACGACATAATTATTTGTTTTTTTTTTTTAAAAAAAAATAATAATATTTGTCTCGTATTTTAATAAATAAATATAAAAAAATAAAATTTTTTTTAAAAAAAATTTCTTTCATTTTTTTTTCCGCCGTAAAGGTAATAATAATAATAATAATAATAATAATAATAAATAAATCGACGTAAATAAATTTATATTTTATTTAATATATTAAAAATATTCAAGTATAAATTTATATCTACATAAGGCACTAAAATATAACACAAAATAACGACGACATTTGAGTAATTGTTATAATTTAACATTATCGTTACTCATTCCAGGTACCATCATCATCATCGTCGTCGTCGTCGTCGGCGTCGTCATCAAATTTCTGACGTCATTTGCGACGGATGATTGGGAAATGATGACGTTATCATTTCCATTTATGCAAACGCTGTGTTTACCCATGTGAGATTTAAGTGAAGCGTGACATGTGAAATTTTTATTGCATATTTTACAAGAATACGGCTTTTCACCCGTGTGTATCCTCATATGAGTGAGTAAATTTTTTTTCCATTTTAATTTCGCGCCGCATATTTCGCATTCGAAACCTTTTTCTTCGGGCACTATCCCATCCGCGTAAAAATTATGTATCGTTTTCTCGTGCAGAGCGAGATATCGTTTCCTCGCGAAAAAATTACCGCATATCTGACACTGATTGCTTTTTTCTTCGTGACACTTCATGTGATCGCGAACGTTGTTCAATCTTTTAAAACCCATACCGCACACGTCGCAAGTGTAACATCTTACGTCAGAATGTGACGTCATGTGCATTTTCAACGTGTGTAGAGTTTTGAACGCGGACAAACAGAGAGAGCATAGAAATCTTTTTTCCGTGTGAACGTCTCTCTTGTGACGTCTCAAAACCGTTCGACCACCTTCGAAATCGCATAATTTACATTTAATCGATTCCCTCAAATGTATTTCTTTCATGTGAGTATTTCTCACGTATTTATTTTTAAAACGTTTATCGCATAATTTACATTTGTATTTGTTCGAATCATCATCATCATCATCATCATCCGTTTTGAATCCGTGTGCCGTTTTTAAATGAATATCTAATTTTTTCGAATTGTATGGTCTTGAACATTCCGGACAGTGTACCTGATTCGTCAAATGTTCTTTCAAATAATGCTTATCCAAATTCCCTCTAGTTCTGTACCTGTTATTACAAACGTCACAATGATGAAAGGATTCTGTTTTTATTTTTATTTTTTTATTTTTCAAATTATGTAATTTTTTTATGTGACTACACAAACATTTTTCATCTTTGAATAATTTATTACAATGATGACATTCATAATCATTTTTAACATCATCATTTACCTTTTTTATAAAAATGTCATCCTCCATTTTCTCATCTCTATCCGTAGTCTCGATTCTTAAATCACCGGGAGGATTTTTTATTTTGTTCTCTTCTTCATTTGACACAATCAAATTTTTCATAATTTCCAAATTGTTTTTTTCTCTTATCATATCATTTGTCATTAAGGGTTTTTCTATTGGGAGATGATTATCATCTTTTAAATTTTCTGTCGTTTCCATTATCGGCTTTCTCTTTTTCAATGGCATTAAATACTCATCATCGTCACTGTCGTCACAACAATCGTTTTTACATTCTGAAATTATCAAAGATTTTAATTTTTCATCTGTTTTCAACGAAAGAACATATAAGGAATCCCATGCTACTATAGTGTTGGCACACTCGTGGCAAACATGTTGGGGAAAGGAATCAGTTTCACTTATATTTACTGGAACATGTTTTTGTATTTTCTCATACAATTCTCTTTCACCTCCATCTTGTTTAAATATCGGAATTAGTGAATTACTTAGTGATAAACAAATTCGACACATTCGATTTTCATCATTCGTCGATTTCTTCTTCTTTTGCACACATTCGACTACAATATCTGTCATGTTGTGCTGTTAGTTATCTTTGAAAAGTTTATTTTGACAATTTTCTAAAGCTGTTATTAACTTTGAAAGATCATTGTCATCAAGTTCCACAGATATTTTTTTTTTAATCATGGGTTCTTTAGAGAATTCATTTCCTTCTTCCGAAAGATGTAGTGTCAATATAACAAGATTATCTTGAAAACTGGCAAGAGAACTCGAACCCAAAATATGTTGCAATGTCCAATCATAATCTCTTAATTGACTTTTATTTGAATTTTTCCACATTCTAAAATTTTTCTATAACAGACTAGATTTCCTCAAAAATATTAGATTAGTAAACAGGATATCACTTGATTTTTATCAGAACAATTGACTACAGTAGGAATTTATTTAATTTGATTTCTATTTATTTTTTTAAATTCATGTTCATAAATTATTTATTTATTTATTTATTTGTTTTTAATACTAAACTAATAATCATCATATTTTATTTTTTAATCAAAAACAATTACTTAAAAACGTTTTATAAGTGTTATTTATTGTCGGTGTTTCGAATGTAAATAGTATATAAACTTTAAATCGAATAAAAATCAAAAATCAATCTTCTTTTGTTTATTTATTTATTTTTTTTTTTTACACAATGGATTCTTTATTAAAATATAATAATGATTTAAGTATTTACCCAATGATTTTACTAATAAACGAAGTGTTTATTTTAACCACCATTAATGGAATATAATAATATTTAAACGTGGAAGTAGAAAATTTAATCGAATCTGATAATTTTTATATTTTTGAAATTTTTACTCTATGACTTAACGTATTTTAGAAAATTTTAACAAATGGCGATTTCACATTAAACTAAAAGTGGTGATGAAAAGTTTTAATTAAAAGTTTTTTTATCGGTAGTGATAATCGATGCGATTTTTTTTTCGAAATCTCGCGTATAATAAAGTAAACTAGTGAAATATAAATAAATTAAAAGTAATCATAAAGTTTTTGTAGTAATATTGTGATGTAATAATGGAGACGTTGAAATTCATGATGTCTCAAAATGAATTCACATGCAAAAAACCTAAAGAGGTATGTACTTTGATAACTTTATTTCGTAATATTGATGTGGAAAAGATTTTACTTTAGGAAAATATGACAAATAAAAAGTACATAAACAATTTCGAATTCATCATTACTTCCATATAAGGAAGTAATTAATATATTTTAATTAAAAAATTTTTTATTAAAATATTTAGAATATTCCCCCTGTGTGTGTGTGTGTGTTTTAACAGTCAACACTTAACAAAGACACAAATAATAATTTTACCTTAGACTTATATAATGTGGGAAAAAATTAAAAAATAAATAAATATATTAACAGATTTTTAAATTTAAATCAATACAATTTCATTATTAATATGATGATAGCATTATTACTCATGTTTAAAAATCTGTTTTACAATTTTTTTTTTTTTCTGTAAGTAATCGTTTAACAATATTTTTATAAAAGATTATTGAAATTTTCATCACCACCTAATTCAATATCAAAAAAATTTACTACAATAATAATTTCCTTTTTTTTTGTTTTGTTTTGCATGTAAAATAATTTTTACAATTTTGTGCTTAAAGGCAACTCATTTCGATGAACAAAAATAATATGTTCACGATTAAAAAAAACTATGATAAAATTTTCTTATGTTTAATGTACAAAGGCTTTGAAAAAATGATTATTATTATTATTATTTATCCCATTCATTTCATAATAATAATAATAATATTTTTACAAACGAAATAGATTCATGTAATGATATACTCATTCGATAATTATATATATATTAATATATATATATAAATAATAATAATAAAAACTTATTTATATACAAATTGAATTAAATGGTGTGAAATACTTTTTACATAATTTAATTTAATAAATTATATTATAGTTTAACATTTTTTAATATAAATAATAATTATTACCTTATCATCATTATTATTTTTAATATATATTTATATAAATAATAATAATTTAGTCTTTTACAATTGTAATGACTTAATAATATAATTTATCAAAATTTAAAAAAAAAAAAAAAATTATATATATATATATATATTAAAAATAAAATTTCAATAATTATTTTATATAATAATAATAATAATAATCATCAAAAAAGAGCCCCCTCGCCCTTGCCCTCCCTCCCCCCCGTTCTTCTTCTTATTAATTAATTTAATACCCTTTTTTTATTTTTAATAAGAGTTATAATAAAATTTTTGTGTATTATACACAACTCACTGGAATACAAATAATTTAATTAATTAATTAATATTAATATTAATATTAATAATAATAATAATTATTATTATTATAACAAAATATAAAAAATTTATATTTATTCAAATGTATATAAATTATTAAATTTTAATAAAAATTCTTGGCATTATAACCTATAAAGGGTAATTTTTGTATAATTGCACTTAAGTGTCTTGCCTACATGAAGAAAAAAAAAATATATATATATATATATATAATTAATTAATTAATTAAATATAATTAATTATGTAAAATAAAAAAAAAAAAAGTAAAAATTAAAATTAAAAACAAAAAACTACATTTCTTACCTAATTTAAATATTTTTAAATGTAAATAATATTTAAAATAAATTACATATAAATAATTAATTAAATCATTTTAATAAAATTAATTAATATATATAATAATAATATATATATTAACTTTTTTTAAAATAATATTTATCAATTAAAAAAAAACAATAGATAAAAACTAATTATAAAATTATTTAATTAATATAAAACAAAATTTTAAAATTTTCTTACATATATATATATATGATAATAATTTAAATGTAATGAATTTGAATGTTATTATTATTATTATTATTAATTATTATTATTATTTTATAAAAGAGAGAGAGAGAGAAAAAAAAATTTGGCACAAAATAATAATTTTTTCTTAAAAATTTAATTTTACATAAAGTTCATTAATTAAATATATAAATTAATATCTTTTATCAGTTGATTGATAACAGTATTATTGATAAATTGAAATAATTTTGGCTTCTGCTTTTTTCCAAAAAATAATTATTATTATTATTATTATTTTGTTATTTTATTTAAAATTAATTTTTTTTTATATGAATTTATTCATTGATTTTTTAATTTGGAATGATTTTTAATAATATATAATTAATAATCACAAAAATAATTTAAAAAGATTCTTATTGGAATGAAATTTGAATATTATCATCATTATTATTTTTATTATTATTATTAGTATTAAATTCTAATTTGAAAAAAAAAATAAAAAAATTTCTCTCTTTTCCTATTGTAACAAAAAAAAATATATACCTGCTCGTAAAAGGATAACAATAAAAACAACAATAACAATAACAACAATAAATATAAATAATATGATGATAATAATAATAATAACTGTTATTTAAAATTTAAAAACAATGATAATAATGATGATGTAAATAATAATTCAATTAAATTAATATTAATATGATTTTTTTTTTTAAATAATTAATTATAACTAGGAGAATTTTCTAGATGGGAGTGCCATTTTTTTATATTACTACTTCTCTTCTTATCACACCTGTACTTTATCACTTATCAAAACGTAACACGAAATTTTATAAATAAAAAAAAAAATGAAAGAGTTTTAATAATAGTAAATAATATTATTATTATCAATACGTTTTCTAAAATGGTCGTTATGTAATATCATTTATTATAATCTATAAAAATTTATAATAATTTAAAATAAATTGTATCAAATGGCAAGATTCTCTCTCTCTCTCTCTCTCATCGGACTTTCTTACGGACGGTTTTTATTTATTTATTTATTTATTTATTTATTATCATTATTATTATGAAAATGTTTTAAAAAATTTGCAAACATTGCATATAAAAGCCTCGT